ATATATATTTATTATTTGAAGAAAAAGTTGGAAGAATTTTTGAAGAAAAATTTTTTTTTAATCATCTTAATATAAATATAAATACATAAATTTATATAATAAATAAAAGAGAAAGAGTCAAAACAAAGAAGAAATAAAAAATTTCCAGTAATTATTAATTCTAAATATTTTTCATTGAAAATAATGCTTTAGAAAAAATCACCAGGAAAAATATTTAAATTCTTGATAAAAATAAATATAATTTACAGCAAATTTAATTCATACATTTAAATTATTCTGTAAATTAAAAAAAAAATTAACTTGATTTGAGAGAAAAATTCTTGAACCAAAAAAATAATTTTGCAGAGGATAATTGTCTTAAATGAAGACGAAAAATTCTTAAAAAAAAATTTATTAGTTTAAGAATTTTTTAACTCAAATAAAGAATATCAAGTTCTTCAAAATTATATACTTCAAGAACATTTTTTTTCTGTGTATTATATTCAGAACAAAATATTTCTTCTTTCGTAAATATAAACCTGCAATAAAAAAGTAAAAGAGTTTCCCGTATTTAAAACATAATATCATATACCTTCAACTGAAGTACCGCCTTCTCATGTACGTGCCGTGTGCACTTGTAGCTAGGCTTAGCTTCTCAACTTATGCTATTTCTGCCCGCGTGACGTGTATTACATTACCTATCTATATTTGGCTGCGCTCACGAGATGGCAAAGCACCTCAACAGCCCTCCGGTGGTTAATAAAAACCTCCTTTAATTATTACATATTTTTTTAATTACAAAGAAAAAATAATATACAACTAAAACTCCACAACAATTAAAGCTAAAGCAGAAGAAGAATATTTACGCACAATGGGCACATGTCTTCACGCTCTCTGATTCCCCTAAGTGCTGATCCACCGTTATGAATCGCGCTATTAAATCTTGAGAAAAAAAATTGCTGTATTAAATATGAAAACAAAAAATATTAATATTAAGAATATTTCTTTAAGATAAATATTTATTTATTTCTTCTTTTAAATATCCTTGGACTCTTTCTCTCTTGAATTTATTATTGTAATAATTATTATTAATAATAATTATCAATAAATTATTGTAATAATTATTATTAATAATAATTATTAATAAATTATTTAAATTTAAATTATTAAAAATTATTTAAATTATTAAAAATTTTTATTAAAAAATTATTAATAATTTGTATTAATTATTATAAAAATATCGAAGTTTTAATGAAGAAATCGACGGCCTTGAAAGCGGCCACCTGAAGAAGATACATGACGTATTAGTGAGTAAAAACAATCTGAGTGAATCACAAAAATTCAAACCGAGGACAGAAAAATTTGTGGATTGCATATGATTGAAGAGAATTATGAAAATCTTATAGGACAAGAAGGTGGAGGTGGATAAGGAGAGAAGCTCGCGGACCTATTTCGGAAAAGCCCCGGCTTAGCTGGGTTGCGGTGATTCAGTAGTCCAGAAATAAGTAGACACACATGTCTCACTCTCTTTATCTTTTCTTTAATATATCTCTTCTCTGGAGGGAAAAGAAGAGATGATATTCTCGGCTTCGGTCAATTCCTCTACTCTCAAGACTCTCAAGACTGCGGACGTGCTCTTACTTCCACCGTCTGCTGAAGATTACACACAAATCTCGAGAGATTATAATAAATGAGGGAGATTTTTAAAAAAACTTTTTTTTTTTTTTAGTAAATGGGTTTTTTTATTTTTTACTGTGAAAAGTTAATTAATAAATAAATTATGATGGTTATTTCTTCACAAGTCGATTTATGAATAAAATTTATTTTATAATTCTTGTACATATTTTTTTAAGTCTTAAATTATTAATATTAAAATTAATTAATTAATTAAAGAAGAATATAGTTTTAAAATTAATTGTAAAATTATTGCACTGAATTATTTACTAAAAAAAAAGTAAACAACTTGGACCACTTTCACAATTATTTTTATAAGATTGATAACACAAGTATCCAGTTCAAAACCGGCCGACTTCAATAAAATCTTGAATTAATTAATTAAATTCTTTGTAGATCTAATTGAAGACGGCCAGTGTTTTAAAAATACACATTTTCCACTTGTTAAACTGTCAAACACACGTTTGTAAAAAATTTTCACTTAATCCACTGTGAAATTTTGAGAAATATTTATTTAATATTTAAATTTAAACTTGCGAGATGAAAAGATAGATTTATTTAAGAAGAAACAAAATAAAAACACTAAAGAAGAAACGTAATATAAATAAAATAAAGTAAACTAATTTATAAGACAGATTCTGATGACTTCCAGCGGAAAACTAAGACTAGCAGTTAAAGTTGATGTTAAAGCTGAAGAAGTAGGAACTTGTTCCCCTCCACAGGCTTAACAATGTCAGAGAGGGAAGATGATGATATGCATCAGACACTCCCACCGCGTCTAATTGCTACTTCTTCTTTTTCAGCGGCTAACTTTCCTTCTTTTTATTATTTTTTATTTTTTTTTTTGCTGATGAAAGAAATAAAAATGAACTCCAGATGTTTATCGCCAGCAAAAACAATTACCTAACAATAAAAAGTCGACGAAATTTTTATTTTTGCTCGTATTTCTTCTTTTACATCCATTTTTTTGCGCATTAAAGAGCCAACGCGGAAGTTAATTTATTTATATAAATAATTTATTGAAAATTAATTAGATTGAAAAATTTTAATTAATATTTATTAAGTTGTAATTAAATTTCGAGATTTAATTAAAATTATTAATTTAATTAATTAACGTTTATAATTGATTTTTTTTTTGGACAAAAAATTATTTCTTCTTGAGCATAAAATGAAATTGTTGATGAAAGACGAGCTAAATACTAAAATAAATGAATTAATCATAATTATGTAGTTCATATTCTTAAATTAAACTGTTAATGACTAACAATGTTACGAACTTTTTAGCGAATAATTCTTGTCTAACCAAAAATAACTCGTACCCACGTAAAGAAGTGGAGGAGGTCGCTAATATAACCAACGTGAAGAATAGTATTAAATATATATTTATGAATCGTGTGTAATGATGCGAATATCAAAACATGTTTATGTGTAATTTAGTATGATAATGAAAACGAGAGCCAATTTTTATTTTTGAATATAAATAAACAAATAACATATTTATAGCCAAGAATTTTTTTTAGATTTTTGATGATTGTTTTGTTGCGACATTAATCATGAAAATTTGAGAAGATAAATTTTTCAAACTATTAATGTCAACATAAATTTTACATCGATATTATTTTGGTATTAAAACAATTTATGGGAAGAAAATTTTTTAAAAATATCAATTTTGT